TAATTTTAAATTTGATTTAAATCTCAAATTAGGAATTGTAGAAGAAATATTTTACCAATTATACAATTATTATTATTATTATTAGTAATTTTTTGTTTACATGAATTTAATAGTTTGCAAATTACCAAATAGTTTTGAAATGCTTGGAATTTAAAATTTTTTAATTTTTTTTAAGATTTTAGTATTTTATATAGTCTTATGATTTTTTTAAAATATAATAATAATAATTAAATTTGTTCAATTAAAAAAAACTAATTAGAAACAAATATATTAACACGTATAATATATGATTTTATATTTGATGAGTAAATTATAAGTATTTAAAAATAAGCAAAAATTTAAGAAAAATAAATAACGATATATAAACGTTATATTAATTTACAATTTTTTTCCTTCTTATTCTACTTTATATTGGTCATTATTGGTTCACCAAATTAAAGCTCCAAAAGCATACAGATTCGTTTAGTAATCATAAAATAACTTGTTAGGAAAATTTTTTTGTATAAAATATATTATAAAAAAATAATATTTTTTGTTATTTGAATCAATTATTAAAAATATTTTTTATTATTTAAATCATCTCGTGAAAAATATTGTTCACTGTCATTTAAATTATAAAAATTTTATAATCTTTAACTTTTCTTATAAATTTAAAAGGTGAGTTTTTTGTGAAAAACACCTTATAGAGTGTAATGTTACTTAATTTGCTCTATAAATTTCGCAAACTTCAAATTCTAGTTTAAAGCTACAAAACCGTTGTTTGTTAAAACTATGCATAAGTTTAAAGATAATAATAGAATTCTACAACTTATTACATTATTTTTTACTTGATTTTATTTTATATCTCAGTAAAATGGTACAATTAAAACTAATGCCCTAACCTCAAGTTCCTTAGTTCAACTAAAGCAAAACTATCCAAGATGATTAGTCATTAGAGGAGAAGAAGTAACCCTTCAAGATCACTAATTACAAATTCTTTATTATCTAACTCTTGGCTCACAACATTAACAATCCAAAGTCTTGAATAATATCAACAACATATTTTTTTTTTGTTAGAAAAAGAGCAAAAAACCTAGATCCTATTAACTCTTGGGCTTTGAGTTGCAATTCATCTATACGATTAATCATAGATCACATGAACTAGCAACCAAGCCAAATGGGTTAATATCCAAATTATATGGAAAATCGAAG